TATACTTTAGTATATATAATATTTTCTTCATTTTCTGTATGAAACACTACATGTATTTGATTTGAAAATGGCAAAAAAAAAACTTAATTAATAGCCAGATGTTAGCATTTGTACTTTGTATAAAATCAATACATATAAAGATCATCACATAGTATAACTATATTTGCCTTATTCCACGTGGTTGAAATATATTAATGATCCACTAGTGAAAATATGATTAAAAAGTTTACATAAAACATGAGAAAGTAAATCATTACATTTAATAAATAATTTTCAGGTAAAAGGTTATAACCTCCACTTTTGTTCCTATTCAGTGAAGAAATAGCCTCAGTTACCTCCTCTATTTTAATCTCTTTATCTAGCATATCAATTTGTTGTAATATAACATCATCACTCTGAAATTATTTAATCAAAATTTCCAAGTTTTTGTCACCATCTTTCAAGCCCCAACTACCAAACAAATCATTCACTAATATCTGTTTTTGTTTCCTACCAAATATGAAAGAATCTGCCAATAAATAAAGGGCGTGGACAAAAGTGTAAAAATCTATTTTTAGCACTGGAGACCTTGACTCAACTGACCCGTTACTCCATCCAAAGGTAGAAGACTTCTCAATTTATGTTCCTACTAAATATAAAAGACTTCTGTCAATAGAAAAAAAGATGCACCTGTAAAAGTGTAAAAAATTATTTTTGGCATTTGTGACCTTGACCCGAATGACCCTTAACCAAACCCAAACGAAGAGGACCTCCCTAGGCATGTCTGTACTAAACATCCAAAATTTAAAATAGACAAGAAAAATGGGTATTATTCAATCAAAATTTGATAAAGAGAGAAAATAACACTTAATTATGCAAGATGAAACTTTATTAATTATCCCTGTGATTAATAAATGCATTATCAACTATTAAATAACAAACATAGTGGTCAATATAATAAATATAACATGTGACAACTCACATTATAGAGGAAAACAATATATACCACTGACAATAAATGCAATATCCATTTACATGTACAAATAATCTGTGCCAAAAAAATAAATAACTAGAAATGTGTCCATAGGACACTGATGCCCCCACACGCCACTGTTCTGTCAATCTTATGACTCTAGGTCAAATATTTATTGGACTACATGTGCCACAAGTTTAAAACTAAAAATCAACAAAGGGCCATAATTCTGTTAAATTTGGTCGCAGCAAAAATTCCTGCCTTTACTACCATCTACACATTAAGGTTGTTAATCCCTGGAAGTTTAAGCAAAATCTGCCATCTGGTTTAACAGGAGTTGCATTCACAAAATTTCTACATAGTATATAGTGAAAAAATCAACAAAGGGCCATAATTCTGTTAAATTTTGGTCGCAGCAAAAATTCCTTCCTTTACTACCATCTACACCTTAAGGTTGTTAATCCCTGGAAGTTTAAGCAAAATCTGCCATCTGGTTTAAGAGGAGTTGCATTCACAAAATTTCTACATAGTATATAGTGAAAAATCAACAAAGGGCCATAATTCTGTAAAATTTGGTCGCAGCGAAAATTCCTTCCTTTACTACCATCTACACCTTAAGGTTGTTCATCCCTGTAAGTTTAAGCAAAATCTGCCATCCGGTTTAAGAGGAGTTGCGTTCACAAAATTTCTACATAGTATATAGTGAAAAAATATCAACAAAGGGCCATTATTCTTTTAAATTTGGTCGCAGCAAAAATTATTTCCTTTACTACCATCTACACATTAAGGGTTGTTCATCCCTGTAAGTTTAAGCAAAATCTGCCATCTGGTTTAAGAGGAGTTGCGTTCACAAAATTTCTACAAGTATCTAGTGAATAAATCAACAAAGGGCCATAATTCTGTTAAATTTGGTCGCAGCGAAAATTCCTTCCTTTACTACCATCTACACATTAAGGTTGTTCATCCCTGTAAGTTTAAGCAAAATCTGCCATCGGGTTTAAGAGGAGTTGCGTTCACAAGATTTCGGGACGTACGGTCGGACGGACTGACGGACGGACTGACGGACGGACGGACGGACAAGTGCAACGCTATATGCTCCCACATTGTGGGGGCATAAAAATAAATCACAGCTATGCCATGTTCGCGTACTAAAAGTATACATAGCTTTATACAAGAAAGTTAATGATATCTGGTATACCTTTATGGCGGTTTTGAAATATAAAAGACAAGAAAAATATCACAAAATGGTATAATATCAATATAAATTTTAAAACCATTTTAATTTTTTCTTTATATTTTAACTCCATTTAGCATATCAACCATCAACAATGCTATGGTCAGAATTTAGCTTTTGTGGTGGAGGTAGACATAATGACTCCCCAGTATTATTATAATCAAAGGCTGCCACCCTGCATACAGTAGATACTTGATAACCTAGCAAGATAATTCCTACACTCTTCAAGAGAAGAAAGTTACTCAAATGGGAACCTTAAAAAAGATCAACCGAGACAGCAAAAATTAAAAAGTTGAAGCAAAAAAAACAATCTATGAACATTAATGTAATTTTGCACCCAATGCATGGTAAACAAAATTGCAATACACTGTATAAGTTTATGGACTAATGTTCCTTCCATAAAGAATCTGTTTCCGAGTCTTTTATGAAATTATTACTTTGTATATGATCAATCCTTGGTAAATGTGAGAAAGTCAGACAAAAAACAACAGTATAGTATATAGTATATAATACAGAAATACTTGTTAGGTAATACTGCCCTGTTGGGGTATATGACTATCCGTGTTACAGTACAAAGTTTGATTCTATATTTCACACAATACAATAATGTGAACAGTTTTTCATGTAGTTTTACATTGTATAATATAATGAACTTAACAAACAAACACATGTATAATCAAAATTTTAAAACATGAAACAAAGTCAATAGGAAAGGAAGGGAAATAAACAGTTTTATTTGTATTTCTTAAACAATTCAGTTTTTACAGGCAAGAGTTATGATCTGTATAAATTAATTAGGTTTATGGACAGAAAATTCTGTTCTTTTGCAAGAAATCAATCTCTTTCACTTATATTATCCAATACAGAATGTCAAAAACGCACAAATTTGTAAAATCCTATTCTACACTGACTTCACTTGGATTTAGAAATATATCAAAAATACAATATAAAGATGTACAAGTACTGGTTACTTTGAATGATTTTTCATATTGATAATGGGTGGGTGATGATGTGATATTTGTTTATGTTAACATTAATTGGGTCAAAGCTATGGCCGTACCCATGACTCAAAAGGTTTTAAATATCTTTCAATATTTGAATATTAACCATACATTTATAACATGTTAAAGGCAAATAAATGTCAATTTCAACGGTACCTATTTTTTCCAGTACAACTCTTTTACTTTTCCCGAAAAGCTTGCAGAAATTCATGACACAATGTTACTGCATACTTTCATTGAAATCTTGCAGTATAGCAAAATTTCTGCAAACATAACGGGGTAAGTAACAGAACAACAATGGAAAGTGATGTACCATTTGAATCAGCAATTATGTACCTGGAACATGGTATATGTCTACTTTTTCAAATATTGAAAGATATAACAAAAAATAGCAAATACCTTGCAGCAAGGGCATGGCCATTAGTGGTGACCTAATGTTACCCTATACAAATGTCATGTGACCACCCACCCTGTCATATATATATTGAACTGAAGAAATTATGTACTCTTTTAAAAAAAATTTATTAACTGACTAATATCACAGAAGCAGATCAGCCATTGCACTAACATAAAAAATAAATGAAAATGTAAACTGGACAAAACAAAAATGAATATATCACATATAAATTTCATATAATTATAAGGGTAACAAAGACTATGAATTAAAGCAAACTTTTGCTTTTATAAAAAACAAAATAAGAGAGATAAAGAGTTGCCTCCCTTTGAATACTACATTTGATATATTTATATTTATTATCAATACCTAGAAGTGCATGTTTACATATATAAACAATTTAGAACCACAATAGGGGTAAAGAAAATCTACTCTAATGAAAAGATGTAAAATTTCACTTGCTTTACAAAAAGAACTACAGGTAAAAGTCTGATTTAGAAGCAATGATAGCCTCCAAATCATGGCTTTTGGTTGGGTTTTTTTTTTCAACAATAAATGGGGCATAACAAATGCACATTAAACTGTACATATTTTACTTGGTTATTTCCCTTTATACAGGTTTTGTCTGCTTAGTCATACAATATTAAACTCATACAATAATAAACCTAATCCCCTAATAATATACATAAATAAATAGATGCAGTAATATATATGGACAAACAATCACAGAATTTGCTTTAAAAAGATATATATCTGTAGCAAATATGGCTGACAGCCCGGCAAGATCACTCACTTCAAAGATAAACCTCTTTCACTGTCATACACATAAACTGTACTTCAGTGCATTTAATTGTCCAGTCTTAAACTGTACAGCTTACCCTAACTTATACATTAAATAGTGCATAAAATCAATGTCACTTTCTTTATTTAATTATCAGTTCAAATTGTTGTAAAAAAAATGAAAACAGCTACTGTCTAATAAAATGTTAATTTGTTCTACATTTTGAATTAATATATCTATCATATTATAATCATAATACTATATAAGATGTATGACAAACATATCAAATACTGTAGATGGCTAGATGGTACATCAAATACCAGTCATATAATTAAATATGTGGAGAGTTGTGTTGACAAATAATGGTTTAATATTAACATACTTCTGTTCTGTTTTGACAATTTTCATACCATGCTAATGAAATGGACTTTTAAATTTTGTGACAAAAAATGCTGACTATTCTTAGAAAAAATGCAAAAATAGACTTGTTCACATGACAACTCTCAAACCAAATACTTTTGCAAAATTTCTGATAAGCAAAATCTGAACGGTAGCCTTTGGTGACATATTTTCTATTGGATGCTGTTGCTGTTGTTTCTTTGCGGTGTTTTTTTTTTTAAATTTATTTTGCCCAAGTTTGACAGTTTAGCAAAGTAACAAACACAGGCCACTATTCTTCATAATTAATGGTATTCGTCTTCTATGGTGTATTCATGAATATAAAAATAACCATAATTTTCTTGTTATATCTAAAAACTTAATTTTGTGGATTTTTTCATTTCTATCTTATTCATAATATATATATAAATATTAGTTAACTGCAAAAACAAACATATAAAACACATTCCAAATTCACTTGTCTCTTTCCTCCTTTGATCACAAATGAGGAATACACAATGTATATTTGGCATGCATGTGAGAATATTTCCTATATCTCACTCATTACACAGATATATTCCGCTAAACAAATACATTTCTTCTACAAAGTCAATGACTTTGCCTATAGAAGTAACTGGCATAGGCCAATAATAATTCCACAAGCAGATAACATCATGCCTTTAAATCTTGTTTCAACAGTAATCTAAAATAACTATTGCAATCTTAAACAAAATATTCACATGTTGTAGAAAAGTGAAATATTAAATGCAACTTGATGAAAGCACTATTTATATCACAAATGTCTCTCCATCTTTACCAGAATGACTTATTCTGTCTCCCTGTAGCTCCGCCTTCAAAAGAAGGCCGGTTATTACCGTTAAACAAACCATTTTGTGACTGGTTTTTCTGTGCAGATGAACTGAATAGACTGTTCCTTTGTGTGGGGTTATATGAATTACTTGCACCAGATGGAGAGGATGACATGAGAGATTTACTGAAAACAGAGTTGTTATTACTTGATGATACTAGTCTGTCTGTGTTTTCATTGCTGAAAAAGTTCCCACTTCCTTGTTTGTTAAAGTTACCTCCCCTTAATGAATTTAAATTCCCAGAAGTCATTCCACTTCCTGTCTGTGAACCAAAATGGCTTCCACCGGTTTGTGGATAAATTCCAGCACTAGAATTTGAAATGTTTCTTGGTGAAATAGGTTTGTCTGATGGACTTGGCAAGTCATTGCCATAGGCATAGCTAAATGGTCTACGCTCAGTCTGGTTACCCATACCCCATGTTTTACCTCCTGGAGCTGTGGAGATAAACTAAAAATAATATAAACGTGTTAACAAACATTCCACATACAGCACAGTTTTGACAAAACAAAAACAAACATGAAAATGACTTCTTTCAAATTTTATGTTGTATAACATATATTAAAAGAGCATAGACAAACTCCACAGATAACAGACAGACGTGTTAAACATACATCGATAAATATTAGTGAAATCCTTTGGAATAGATAATTTCTGTATATTATCTGTAGTTTCATTGTGGTAAATTACTAACAGCAAGCCTAAAGATACATATTACATATGTACATACATGTATGTACAGTTGTATACATGTACAACTGGTACATTTTTATACTAAAATTATCATGTAACAAAATTACTCCTTTCATATATTCAAAGTATATGTATTTTTTCAAACTTAACCTTTAAAGGCCATATTGCACGACAATACATTGATAGTGGGATAAGTGCCATTAGAAGCTAATGTGGAAGAAACAACTGACCTTACTTAGGGTAGCCGATTGTTTCTTTTTATTACAGAATTAACAACTACTCTAATAAGATATCATATATGGTTCAAATATATTGACACTGACCACGCAGTTCCACAACAACTGGCCACAAAAGAAGTCATTTCAGTATTAGAACTACTGTGTTATATGATAATTTCTTTACATTAGTGCTAAAAATTACTTCATTAGTGTGATGACAGTCCAAATGACCATACACAGTTACATAAAACGCTCTAAAGTGTTTGTTTGTTTGTTTGATTTTACGCCTTTTCCCAACAGTATTTCAGTCATGATAGGCGACTCTAAAGTGTAAGAAAGCTTGACAGACAGGGGGGAAGTCTGCCTGTTAATCTAAGATTTTACACAGATAAAAAAATCGAAGCAAACCTGTATTGTTTGTGTTTCCAGAGTTGTCATTTCTAGCAGTTGAAGACCCTCCAAATGCAGCACCAAAGTCATCTTAAACATACAATTGTTCAATTGTTCACATCAGGTCACATATGACAGTAATCATTTTTATTACATGCTTTTCGGTGGTTTATAGAAATATATCAGTGATATAAAATTGGTAATTTCACTGTTTGAAACAGTGAAATTACCACTTTGATAATTTCACTGTTTTGAATTTAAGCCCCTTACGTTGTTTCAGTGAAATACCAGCGTGCACAGTACTGGGTACCAACTTAATGACGTGACGTCGTAAATGACATCACGTTGTATTATTATTTGGCGCGCTTTTCATTCAGTATTAGGTTAAATGTCCTTTTAAAACGTTTCTTTGCATGTAATAAAAAGAAAATTTGTTTAGTTTAGTGTAAGATTACACACTCTTTAAATACATGTATAGTAAATTGATTCTCACAGGTTAACAAGTAAACAAACATTAACAAAGCTAAAATGACAATATTTTATATCTATGTCATAATAAGTCTTAAATTTTGTAAGTCTATCAAGCAACCAACAAACATTTATGGGCATAGTAAACAAGGAAAATTGATGATACTTTGATCTTGCTTGATGAATTATTTACAAACTTGTTTTCTATTTGCCAAGGAAGTAAATTCTGCAAATAGTACTGTAAAACTGTAAGTACTCCAACTTTATAAGAAATATTCATTGGAGCTAATTCTTAATGTAAGAAATTACAAATGTTACCTTTCTGTCCACCACCATGTCTAGAATAATAGCTTTTACTGGTGTTAAAATGAAGGCTGTTGTCTGCCTTGGGTGGTTTTACACCACCAGAGATATTCACATTACGTTGTATACTCCAGACATTGTCCAGCTCGAACTTGGAACCTGCCTGATTACCTATGTAAATATATATGTATAAGTATCAATATAACATTCATTCTGCCTGATTACCTATGTAAATATATATGTATAAGTATCAATATAACATTCATTCTTCTGCCTGATTGCCTATGTAAATATATATGTATAAGTATCAATATAACATTCATTCTGCCTGATTGCCTATGTTAATATATATGTATAAGTATCAATATAACATTCATTCTTCTGCCTGATTACCTATGTAAATATATATGTATAAGTATCAATATAACATTCATTCTTCTGCCTGATTGCCTATGTTAATATATATGTATAAGTATCAATATAACATTCATTCTGCCTGATAACCTATGTAAATATATATGTATAAGTATCAATAGAACATTCATTCTGCCTGATAACCTATGTTAATATATATGTATAAGTATCAATTTAACATTCATTCTTCTGCCTGATTACCTATGTAAATATATACGTATAAGTATCAATATAACATTCATTCTGCCTGATTACCTATGTAAATATATATGTATAAGTATCAATATAACATTCATTCTTCTGCCTGATTACCTATGTAAATATATATGTATAAGTATCAATATAACATTCATTCTTCTGCCTGATTGCCTATGTAAATATATATGTATAAGTATCAACATAACATTCATTCTGCCTGATTACCTATGTTAATATATATGTATAAGTATCAATATAACATTCATTCTGCCTGATTACCTATGTTAATATATATGTATAAGTATCAATATAACATTCATTCTGCCTGATAACCTATGTTAATATATATGTATAAGTATCAATATAACATTCATTCTTCTGCCTGATTACCTATGTTAATATATATGTATAAGTATCAATATAACATTCATTCTTCTGCCTGATTACCTATGTAAATATATATGTATAGGTATCAATAGAACATTCATTCTGCCTGATAACCTATGTTAATATATATGTATAAGTATCAATATAACATTCATTCTTCTGCCTGATTACCTATGTTAATATATATGTATAAGTATCAATATAACATTCATTCTTCTGCCTGATTACCTATGTAAATATATATGTATAAGTATCAATATAACATTCTATTTATTAAATACTTGCAATGCTGAAACCATAGCTGTAAAGCATGTCACCAGAATACAGCCAGGTCAGTATGCACATCAACACTGTGACATGACCTTACATGGTTCACTAACCAGTTTCCAAATTTACCTTGAAATACCCATAAAACTGATAATGGGATAGTCAAAATTTAAAGAACAGCATGTCCATCATATGAATTCAGAAGAGAAAGGCCCTTAAAGTTACATTTATTAAATTTCATAAAAAAAGAAATAGCGACATTTCATTAATAAATTGGGTTTAATATCGACTCCAGATCTTATTTCGGTGTCCTGACAACCAAAATGAGTTTAATGAGCATACAAATCTGCAACCTCATTGTGGCGAATTCAGAAGTACAGTTTCTGTTTGCATAAGAAACTCCGCCTTCAGATCATCCGTACATCAATGTTAAATCAACAAACATGACTCGAAGTAACAGTCCTAATTTAACGGTATATTTCCGCATTGTAACGGATATTTTCATACAAATGTTATCTTTTTTATGAGATGATTATTTTTTCTGAACCCCAGGCCTAGTGCACCGTAAGCTTTAACGGTAAAAGAAGATCTTATATTTGCTGTGTTCCGGGTAGCAACTTTAACACCGTGACGTAGCGCATACACGAGCTGATTATAGTCTTCATTTGCATGTTAAAATTCGTATACGAACTTTAGTGTTACCGTGGGGTTTTCAATTTAAAACCCTAATTTATGAACAATATTTGATAAGATTTACAACGATACTGTCAAAAACGTTAATGAAATTATAGAATGCTTGGTTTTTTAGGCCGACGGCAAAAATATTTTTACATATTTATTTAATGTAGCTTTAAGGACTAAAATATTACTTAAGATCATTTTCTGGAGTTTTCATATAGACATGTAGGCAAAATTAAAACTGTTCAATAGAATTTCTTTAAACTTGGCATGTTGTTAGAATATGATAACAAAAACATTTTAAGAGGAAAAAAAGATCAGCAGTGGGACTGTATGGACTTCAACCACATAACTGAAAAATATGTGTTGCATCAAAGAGTCCATCTCTCCATGACCAATGAGCTTTGTGAGCAGGCTATAGTTTTTTGGGTTTTTTTGTTTTTTTTCCCAATTAAGCATACCGGATTGGCAATCCAGAGACCCATATGGTTTGAATCCTGACCATGGCATCCCAATTTTTCATGTGATTTTTCTGCTCATGACTTACTGATTTGTTATAGATATATAGTATATAAAGGCCAATACCTGGATTACTTTGTTTCTTGGCATTAAAGTTCCATGGTAGATCATCCTCAACATCATCATTGCCTTTCTTTGGTCCTGTATATAAAAACTTCTTGGCACCACCTAGAAATATTCAGTATTAAATAATATATATAAATTAGTAAACAGTAATGTGATTGAAGTGCTACAGAGCACATCTTATAGTAGTGCTACCACTGTGAGTTTTAAGTCTAATATTAGAAACAAAATTATATAAAAACAAAAAAAATAAAAATGTACCCATGACATGTATTTAAATAAACAGTGCAGTGATGCCATAAAAGGTCATAAATCTGACTATAAAGACTTCATAATCGTATAACAGGATGTTTCTTTTTATTTATAAGAACCAAATTTTCACTATATTCAAGCCGAGGGCACAAATAATATCAAGAAAAATAAATACACTAAATATTCTTTATATTCTAAATAAATTTCTATAACTTGATTACCTACTTTAGTTTTGTTTCTGGTTGAGTCTTATATATTACATGTTGTATAACCTAGGTATCAATGTATAAAATACAAATATTTGGTAATTCGTGTTATTAAGCATCGGATATTTTATAAAAGATTATTTAGATGGGTTACTTTCTTATGTTATTGGCTAGCCAAAGAATGATGACCTTGAATATCTCAACTATTTACTGTCATAATCATGATAACAAGATCTAACAAAGATTTATTTATAGCAGGTAAAGATAAACATGTCTACAGTGAGTTATATCATATATCACTGTCAATGGCTTTTCACTGTACATGTACCACCAGCGTTGTTATGTTTAGAGAGAAACAGTCAGTGTGAATCACTGAAGCTAATCAATGTAATTAATCTTGATTATCAGATTAAAGAAATGGAAAATCAATAATCAACATACAGTCTAAACCAGAACGTCCTCAAAAGTAAATCATTCAATATTTTTATCCCAAAATAATATAAATTTTTCAAGACAAATTAGCAGAATCAATTTACCAAATAGGAAGATGGCATAAAGAATAATGCTCATGACTTGATTCTTAATTGTTCATGTTTAAAACCTTTAAGTATATAATATAGTTACATTTTTATCATTCAAAACTATCCAGAAATCTATAGCAAGCAATTATTCCATCAACTTACTCCCAATTTAACAAAGCTAAATTAAACCATTAAATCTATTAAGACCAACTAAGAGCAATAAAATTAATTTTTACAAAATGTATGAAAGTGAGTAAACAGTTTAAGTTTCAATTCTGAAAAGAAAGAAACTCAATTACAAAAAAAAAATATTTTGAATATACATGTACAAGACAGTACTGATCATCTGATAAATAAATCTTAGTCTATAAAGTATTGTACATGTATAATTATAAAACCTACACATATTATACATGTATATGTATATTTTTTTTGTATATTTGTACCGATGCCTGCCCAATGCAGTCTACATAAATAAAACGATTTTAAGTACAGTAATAATCAGATATGTTTAATCAGGGTGTATATTCTTGAAGTATGTACAAACTTGATTTATCATGATACCATAAACCACTTTAAAATATTTTATGTTCTTAATATTGAAAGATTTATTTCTACTGTGTTTAAACTAATGGTCATCAACAGTTTATCATGTCAAACGGGGAATAGCAAGCTTATCATTAATACAAACTATGCCCCGTTTTTTGTATAAGTACTCAATGTACTGTATATGGTACCACAGTACTACAGTCATTTTTATACCACGCGTAACAAAATTAAAATAATTGACACCGTCATATGCATTTCACATTTGCATTTTGACAGTTTGGGATTAACATTATGGTCACTGACAGTTCATAGAGTTAATAAGTTATAAACTCTCCTTGCATTTCTGAAGGATATTTCAATATGTTTCATTTCAACTTACATGCTTTTCTTCAGACTTTATAGCTACTTTTCTATTAAATTCCATACATGTATCATTCATTCTCCAAATTACCAAGCAGTTTAAAAGTTTTATCTTCAAAAAGTTGCCAAGTCTTCCATGTGCACAGTATTTGAACAGTTTTTGGATTAGTTATGGTACTTTCAAACATTCCAGGCTTTAGTATTTTCATGAGTACCTATGTCATATTTCATACTTGCATTAAAACTACTTAAGAAGTATTCAATATCTTTACTTATTCAGTAGTATAAATATGTTCTTTAATGGTTTGTATCAAGTTATGGGGTTTTACTTTGATTTTCTAGGGACACCACTTAAAACCATCACCCAGAAGCCAATGATTTTCAGAAAACCAATTTTTATACAGTGGGTCTGAAAGTTTATTGTTTTAATTTCATCAATATTAATAAAATAGAAAGAATAAAGTGTCACAGTTCAAAACTGTTCACTATTTAGGGGAGATGACATGTAAGTAACCGGATACCTCAGTCGGTAGAGTTGTGGAACAGTATTCTGATGGGTCCTGGGTTCGAATCCCAGTCAGGCTGCACATGTTACTCATCCTGTGACAAAAGGTTGTGAAACAAAGCATGTCAGGTTTCAGTATATTTATTAATGACCTATGTTTTACTATTTGATAGCCTGTCGTAAAAATCAAACTATACATATATTATCTCACTCCAAAATAATTGTTTTATTAAAACTTTAAAGTTCTTTTCTGTATAACTTAATTGAAGCAGAAATGGAGGAGACTCTTCACATTTTTTTTATAAAATCAATTAATCCACAATTCATGTATATAAATCAACATTTTGTACCCACATTTTTGTTTTCTTCTCATTAAAGTTCCATTAGAAAAGGAAAAGTGTCTTTACAAGCAGGTAAACAAGTAATCATGTTCAAAGCTCTCACAGTTCAATTATTCATTGAAAACACTGCAAGACATGCTGTTCAAAAGTCAATCAAGATTAAAGTAGCAATGAAGATATCACTATAAGACATTAACAATAACAATAATAAACAATCCAACAATTCAGCAGAAAATCATTCCTATCGTACATGAATAATTTATCAACCTTATAATCTTTCAACAGGGAATATAAAACAGTAGGTGATAAAGAAAGGACCTTGGTTGATATTCTTAGAGGAGCAACATTTTTTCATGCATTTTCATAAAGACCTAAACCTCCAAGTATTGTCTCTTGGTCCAAAAAGGTACTAAAAGGAAGTCTTTCACCCACATAAAAATGTGATTAAGTAGTGTAAGACAAAAAGCAGGAATTTAATAAGGACACATGATTGCAGGATGATGCGTCATGCACTAATTGCACAACCATGCCTATCAGCTTAAAAAGGAAAATAGTGACCCTGTGCTTGTAAAATTTTGTTTCTTTTCCCTACCTTAAACATCTACATATAAAAATTGTTCTTTTTTTAAATTTTGTGACCAGCTCAGAAACTTCAACTTTCAATTTTGACACATTTGCACAGAAAAATGTATTTAGCTGGACAGAGCTCTTTCATAAAGTTTGTCCTTGACCTTAAGCATGTAATATCCAGTATTATTATAATGCCAATTATATGTTGTATATTATAGTTGGCGCCACATCCAAATTTTGGACAAAAATATGTAAATGTAAGGAAACCAAAAGGTGCCACCTTTGAGATTATGTTTAATGATGGTAATAATGGGCCATTATGAAAGTATTTATCTTTAAATAATTTGTTAACAAAAGAAATCACCTAAAATGTTCATGTACGGTAAATAGCACATTCTGAATTGAGCAACTAGTAACTTAAAGCACAGCATTTTCATACTAAACAGTAATTAACGAAAAACAAATTCCCTGATATACTAATAATTATGGATGAGTATCATAAAATCTTCAGAATTACTGTAAAGAACTGAACAAAATTATGTTTTCTAAAAGGGTTTTTATGCAGCATGCACACACTGTCTGAAGATATACAATGTATAATAAAACTTTATCGAAATACAAACATAACAAACTGAGAGATCAAAACCTTTGTAACACAATATCCTTAATTAAGTTTTTAAATTTTTCTTTACTGGCTTTGAATATGAAACGTCTATTAACAGTTAAGTAGAGCTGTCATTGACGAAATATTCAATGTATCTATTATATCAAAAGCTGAATATCACAAAGCACAGAATATCAAAGGTAAGTATGTTTTCTTGTTATCATATCTTACAAACGCCCCTGAAAATTAAATTAGGCAAAAAAGGGAGAAAAGTGACTTTTTCTCTGAACATAAAGTAGAGTGATATTTTCACAAGACATGAAGAAATAGGTTTTAAATTGTATCATGAATCAAAACTGTACCAATGTTGAATATCAATGAAAGATCGATATTGCGATTTTCAATTCAGCACGATAAATCAGAAAAGGGGGAAAACCTGAAATCAAATTCAAACAACAATGATAATAAATGGAATTTACCCACACATTTTATAAAATTTTCAAATTCAGTTCAATTTAATATTGCACAGGGATTCTTAAGGGGCAGCTTTCTGTCAATTAAATATATCAACTAGCTGATATAAGTCAGCTGCTGTTAAGTCATAGTTCTGGCAAAGAATGTGCACAGGGCATTTCAGTCGAATAATAGCATTTTTAGGGGAAAATATATCCATTTTGGACTACAGGAAACAGTCATTATTCGGCTGTAAAAAAAATAGGGAAAAAATCACTGTTATGACGCGGTAATGCCATTTACAGAAATATTACAATATGTTAAGCCTCCATTCAAAATACCTATACATATATTTCATGAAAACCTTCTAAGATATAAAATATTTTATTAAAAATAACTCACCCATCGTAAATCTCCTATTTTGGAAATGTTCTGACATAAGAAAACAAGCAGAAAATCACATCCTATTTTTATACAGTGTTTAAGTCCAAAATAACAATGAAGTTCAAATGAAATCTTCAATTTGATAAAGAACTTGTTAATGTAACACCCAGTAATTTAAATTCAAACAATATTTGATTTGTTGATTGACAAGCTTCTGAACTGAAGTAAAAACCAACTCGACTATGTCTTCTCCTCTTTCTTCAGCCTATTATCTCACCAGTCTATCATATAATCTGTCCAAATCATACGTAATTTAAGCAGTATTTTTAACACATTATTCTATTATTATTCACACAAAAC